GTGTAATTCCCAAATTAACTGCCCAAATCCCAAATTAACTTCCTAATTCCCAAGTCAACAGCCCAGTTCCCAAGGAAACTGCCCAATTCCCAAGGAAACTGCCCAAATCCCAAATTAACTACCCAATTCCCAAATTAACTGCTCAATTCCCAAATTAACTTCCTAATTCCCAAGATAACTGCCCAACTCCCAAGTTCCCCAATTCCCAAGTCAACTGCCTCATTCCTAAATTCCCTAATTCCCAAGGAAACCGCCCAATTCCCAAGGAAACCGCCCAATTCCCAAGGAAACCGCCTCATCCCAAAGTTAAATTCCTAAGTCCCCGGCTCACTAATTCCCAAATTAGCCGCCCAATTCCCAAGAATTCCATTCCCGAGGCAGTTTTCCAAACTTGACCCAGCCAACCCGGCTCCTCGAATAAATTCCCGCAGCATTCCCGGAGCGCCGCGGAAAGGAGGGAATTCCCGATTTTCCGGCACCCTCGGCCCTCGGTTTTTCATGGAAGTCCCGCTCCCGGGAGGCTCCTTTCCCAAAATTCCCGTTACCTGTGAGGTGGAAAACCTGGAGCAGGGCCTTGAGGCTCCGGATCCTCCACTCCAGGACGGCCTGAGGGTTGGGATGAGCCGGATCCGACGGCATTCCCGCTTTCCCGAGCTCCTGCGAAATCCGGGAGACACCGAAAAGCTCGGGAAGGGAAATTCCAGCTCATCCCATCCCGCTGTCCCTGGGATAGGAGCAGCCACGATTTTCCCCTCGGAAAAGGCATTCCCAAGGATCCCCCTCCTCACCCCCTTTTCCAGCCGCTCCAGCTTTTCCCGCAGCTCGTCCCTCCGGAGCCGCAATTCCCGCGCTCGGGATTCCAGCAGGGCCGCCCTCTCTTCCCGCTGCTCCCTCTCCTCCTGCTCCATGGCTTCCCGGCGATCCCGAGCTTCCAGCGCTTCCAGCTGGGCCAACACCCCTGGCAGGGAGCCCCTTCAGGTTCTGGAATGTTCTCCGAGCTCTCCCGGGATCCTTCCCTTCTCCAGCCTGGCCATTCCCAGCTCTCCCAGCCTGGATCCATCCCCTGCCATTGGATCCATCCCCAGCCCAACTCCTCCCTGGGAAGGAGTTCAGGGAACAAGGGGGTTCCCTGGGAATCTC